GGGCGGGGGGCTTATACTTTTTTTTCTTCTGCGGACTGTAAAACAAAACAAAAAAAAATGTCACTTTGCTGTCTAATGTCACTTTGCTTCAACATAAAATAATTCGGAATGAGAATTCGCACATACTACTGCTAATGAAATTAACGAAAATTCGGATTTCATCTGAATCCCGAAATGAATTGACTTTCGGACCCGAATCCCTAATAACGAAATAAGGAAAAATCCAAATGAAAACAAAACAAAACATTTTTTTTGCCAGCGCACACAGGGGCGTCACTGTGGACAGCGAGCAGCACTTTTCTGTTCACAGCCGCTGCTGTGCTCCTGCCTTCCAGTGTGGGCTCTACAGGAGCATCTGACCAGTGACCAGGCTGAGGCTGCACCAACTAAGGAGACAGAACAACAAGCCAGTAGCTGGGCCTAGGGAGAGCTTGTATTCTAAGTGTTCTTCTGTTTTTACTGCTAAGTCCACTGTTTTCCCTGAGTCCCGTGCATCACTAATTCCCGAGTCCAGTGCGTCACTAATTCCTGAATCCAGTGCGTCACTAATCCCTAAGTCCTGAGTCTAGTGCGTCACTAAGTCCTGAGTCTAGTGCGTCACTAAGCCCAGGCCCAATTCATATACTGTTCTGCATTGCTGTATAATGTATTGCTGGCATTTGTAGTCCCCCTACAGCTGGTGCCATGCTGCATTAGAGTGTAAGCTCCTCAGCACAGAGATAGATGTGACTGGCTCAGTGTTCTCTGTACAACACTCTGGTAGATGTCAGAGCTATATAATTGTATAATAATAGTGTGTCACTGTGGGGGAACATTAGAGTGTAAGCTCCTCTGGTGCAGAGACCGCTGGGGGGGAACCAGTGAGATCTGCCCCGCCCCCCCCCCCGCGGCAGTGGGAAGGCCCAAGATAAAATATTGCATCTGCTCAATTGGTGGGCTGTAAAGGATCTCTTGTGACCCCGCATAGCCCACCTGTGACCACGGCTTCCCTGCTACACTACTAACGCAACCTGTCAGAAGCTGGATACAGTGTGCACGTTGTATCCAGCGACTTACAGGTTACGCAAAATGTCTTATACAGGAAGGGGAGGGGCACATTTAGATCAGGGGGGGCGCCAGAGCGTGGTCTTGCCTAGGGCAGCACAGAACCTAAATACACCACTGAGCGCACATGTCTAACCTTTACTGTGAAAACTGATATTTTTGTTATAGGTAAGTAGATACTAATGTGTTCAATTACTCCCTTTTAATACATAAATATACCAGTTGTGTATGCCAGCAACCATGTGGCAGGTTGGTGGCTTGCACATCCAAGTACAAGGGATTTATGAAAATGTATTTTGAGTAAAGGTCAATATAAAGTGTAGGAAAGTCACTGGTCTGTAGTCAGGAATTGACAGTAAGTTCAGCTTTATTGTGATCAACCATAAAAATCTATTTCCCTCAACAGGGTACGCTTTCCCTTTTTAAACAAAATAGCTTCCAGCAAAAATTTAAAAGTACCACAATCAAAATGGCCTACTCCCACTAAAGGTGCTCATACACTGCTCGATTCTCGTGCGAGAATCGCGGGAAATCCCGCGATCGTACGAGAATCGAGCAGTGTGAACGAAGACGTACGACCGTTTCTACTGTAAGGTCGCACGTCTTTTGTCTAAGGAGCACGCTAGAAAACCAGCCGAAAATCGTACGATTTTCGGCTGGTTTAAACGGTGCTCGGGAGACAAATGCCGAACAGGCCGGTGTGCCCGTTCAGCATTGCGGTCATCGGAAGCCCCCCTCAGGGGGGCGGGCTTGCGATGATGGAGAGTACGATCTGCCTGTCCAAGATGGGCAGATCGTACGTTTTTTAAATTACTTTACAACCATCGCAAGACTAAGGTCTTGCGATGGTTGTAAAGTGTATGGCCACCTTTAGGTGGCTAACTGACAGTAGTTTCTCTCACTACTTCCTACTGGAGCATCTATTCCAGCTTCCAGTACAAAAGAAGATGCAAAAAGAATCACAGTCTTTAACATACAGTTGTTAGCCAGACCATGTCCCACAGGTATTCAGACGCTCTCCAGTCTGTGTCTGCATCCATCCATAGCAGCCTGGGTCTCTCTCTCGGTCTTTCTGAGCTCTCACTGCTACTATAACAGGTGCAAGCTAATTAACAGGGAGGAGGTGTGTGACGGACCGCCTGGTACCCCGACTGGGTACCTCCGCCAAAGAGCGTCTCCTGCCCACCAAACCCCACTCTCAGCCAGCAGATTGGCAGTAACCAGCCCCTAACCCCCAATCATGAGGCAAAACTCATGTTGAAGGTTCAACATAGAAAGAGCAACTCCTTTATTAACAAAGGACATTCACTTTTGAGACACTGGGAGGGCTACAACCCCTCCCCTCCCTTCCCCCTCATGACAAACACAGATAACAGCTTACACAGGGAATCAGACATTTACATACACAGTCACAGTACAATAGGGTGAGCATCAGATAACAGGTGAGAGGGGGGGGAAGCTATGCAACTTCTATACAACTGACTTAACTTAATTAAGTCTCCATTTTGAATAGACAAACCATACGCGATCGTACGAGAATCGAGCAGTGTGAACGAAGACGTACGACCGTTTCTACTGTAAGGTCGCACGTCTTTTGTCTAAGGAGCACGCTAGAAAACCAGCCGAAAATCGTACGATTTTCGGCTGGTTTAAACGGTGCTCGGGAGACAAATGCCGAACAGGCCGGTGTGCCCGTTCAGCATTGCGGTCATCGGAAGCCCCCCTCAGGGGGGCGGGCTTGCGATGATGGAGAGTACGATCTGCCTGTCCAAGATGGGCAGATCGTACGTTTTTTAAATTACTTTACAACCATCGCAAGACTAAGGTCTTGCGATGGTTGTAAAGTGTATGGCCACCTTTAGGTGGCTAACTGACAGTAGTTTCTCTCACTACTTCCTACTGGAGCATCTATTCCAGCTTCCAGTACAAAAGAAGATGCAAAAAGAATCACAGTCTTTAACATACAGTTGTTAGCCAGACCATGTCCCACAGGTATTCAGACGCTCTCCAGTCTGTGTCTGCATCCATCCATAGCAGCCTGGGTCTCTCTCTCGGTCTTTCTGAGCTCTCACTGCTACTATAACAGGTGCAAGCTAATTAACAGGGAGGAGGTGTGTGACGGACCGCCTGGTACCCCGACTGGGTACCTCCGCCAAAGAGCGTCTCCTGCCCACCAAACCCCACTCTCAGCCAGCAGATTGGCAGTAACCAGCCCCTAACCCCCAATCATGAGGCAAAACTCATGTTGAAGGTTCAACATAGAAAGAGCAACTCCTTTATTAACAAAGGAATGACATACACTGAGTCATATACCATGTCACAAAAGATATACAGTATAACTATTGATTTAAATACTTATATCACAATTAAAAAAAGGGATGCACAGAAATTTCGGATGCCGAAAGATACAATTTTTGGCCAAAATTGTGGTGCATTCCTAGATTCCCTCCTCCACTCTGGGCTCTGCTCTGTGTCTCCCCTGACACAGCGGGGAGGAGAGAAATGTTTAGGCAGCTGAGTGGGGCAGGGAGGAGAGTGCTGCGAGCTGCGATGTCACAGGAGGCCGAGCTCTACTCTTATACCGCCCCACGCAGCATCATGTGACATATCAGGATGGAGAGTGGTGTGGGAATGGAGACAGCTGTCACAGGAGGCAGATCCGGCGGTGAGGGGGAGGAGTCAACTGTCGACATAGACCGAGTTATCCTCCCTGCACCGCCCACTCAGCCTCCTGTGACAGTGAGTCAGGATGGAGAGCGTGTACAAGCAGTCAGCGATCAGCTGATCGCTGACTGGTTGTAAATAATTGAGGACATAGTGTGTTTCTGTGTCCCCAATTATGAATAAACAGGAAGTGCTCTATATCACTTCCTGTTCATTCATGATTGTGGATATAGTAAACATACTATCGCCACAAGTTATGAATGAACAGAAACTTGTTCATTCATAACAGGGGCTGCAAAAAAAACTCTGTCCTCAATCTCTTTTTCTATTTTAAGGATAGATCTTTTTAGATCCCTAATATTTCCCCAGGGCCCCTGACAGTAAAGCTAAAACATTAAAATATATTTTTAAAAAACAAAATGTTTAGAAAAAAAAATAATTCATTAAATATTTTTTAAAAATTTAATAGGTTAGAAAAAAAATCCGTTTTAGTTTCGTCCTTACAATTTTTTTCTTTTCGGTTTCGGTTTCAAAATTTCATTTTGGTGCACCTAGCTAATAAAAAATTATGGTAATTAAATAATTTATGTGAAAACAAATAAAAATAACGTTTTTTTCTGCAAAAACTTACCCCCCATGGAAAAAATTTAACTCCTGAGGAATATACATTTCCAGAAAAGTACAAGTTTAATATACTGCAGTATTTTGTACAATATAAAATATTGTCATTATGAGGCAATGTACCCATATACCTGGGCACGATTATGACTACACAATGTATTACTTTGTTGCATGTAAGAAACCATATCCTATGATGAGTGAATATCTGCACCTTGCTAAACAGTTTTGTTTTACTGGCCTTACCTCCAAACTCTCCTTGACCAATCTTTTTACCAAGAGTCAAGCGCTGGAAACTAAGCAACCATCCAGCTGTAAGGAAGAAAGATTAGTTACATGTTTGTAGCAAGGACAGTATCATAAAGGGACGATGAAGGCATGCATACTTGCACTTAGTAATTGACAAATTTCAAAAGCTAAAAGGTCAACATGACAAGCAGGCTCTGTAGTTGCAGAGATCGGTCTTACCACAAACAGAAGCGATACCATGTGCACATGTCTGCATTCACTCTAAAGTTTTTAATTGTAATTGTTTAATAAATTGAATATTTGAATATATGGGAAGCACTATGAAAGTGTTGTGTTTACTTTCCCTGTGAGCTCAGTGGAAATATATGAGACGAGGTGGACTACTATATGAAGGATGTATGCCCTATAAAGTTATTTCAAGTGCTATTGACCTTGTAGCTATATAAGGTCCAACAATAGAGGAAGACATTCAAAGATCATTCATTTCCTGCTACCAGCAACCTGTGGAGGATAAGGAGGAGTGTATAAGTGGAAATATCTGGTTCTACACACAAGCGCTTATGACCGAATCTTGATTAAGATGAGGTCCATGTGAAAAGGTGAGCAATATTCAGTTAGAGGTGGAACATGGAACACAGAGGTGCCCGAGGTGAAATTGGAGTCTTTTTTGGGATGATCAGAAAGAAAATAACGTCACCAGCACTCCAAAGTATAATCAAGCAATAGTCCATTTATTGGTACATTGCCATTCAAATGCAAGCGCTTTCGTGGCCTCGGAGGGTCCCCTTCATCAGGCTCAGAATGACACAGCAATGAAACAATATGCACCGTAAATAGACATCCAACTGTGAGGTTAAAACAGACCCCTCCCATTGAGAAAAACTTCAGCACAGAGCCCATTCCCGCCAGGGAATTCAAATGTAAATAGCCTGTGGCTGATTACAGCTAAAGAACGGCGCGCAAATGCAAGCGGGCCGTACGGCCGGGAGTTTGACAGGTACGGGCGGTTGCCATGACAGCAAGACGCTCTGTCGGCTCTTGGCGCCTCCCCCTCGTCCACGCATATCCGTCGCGTGTGGAGCGCAGGGAAGTTCCGGCTCGCGTTCCAGCCGTCATATGTATATGAGGGCCGGCTGGTTTTAGCGCATGCGCACAACCCCGTTCGCTGTAGTTCTATTCACTGGCCACACCCGATCGCTAGCGATCTATGTGATGTCGTAGACACATATACAAACACTGTACCCGAGCGAATTAGAGAGATGGGGAGCTGATGTATACCTGGCATGGTGGACTCAGTGCTGGTTGGTTCTCTCATTACAATGACAACAGTAGGGATTAAAGCAACAGAGATAAAAGTAAATAAACATATATTTCGTTCCATGCCTCTTTTCATACTGTTATACAACGTTGACCCCATATAGTCCACTGATGACTTGGTGGGATCATAATCTTATGTTGTGGCACATGTGTAAAGAGTGAGTGATACATGTATTTTATGTGCAATAAGTCTACCGTGGTCATTGGATTAGTACAGAGGGGAAAAAACATAGTCGTCCATGATTAAATGGTGTTAGCTTCAGGCAGATATAAAAAGTTACACATTTATGTGGCATGGTAATTCGGAAAGAAACATATTATATATCCTATGCAATTTTAATTGATTCAATCCTAGCATTGCATTGTTGGGAAGATTGGACATTACAACAGAGGGGATTAAGAGTTACAGCTGTTGTGTGGGATCAGTTTTGAAGCACTTTTGCACTTGAAATAATGAGATAATAATCAGACTTTTTTGACGATTTGTTAGTAGCACTTAAACTAATGAACACTTAAAAAAGTTATTTATTGCATATGAATGGGCTTTTACTACACTTTGACATTTATGGGATTGAAGTATTTTATGTTTGTGAGTAATTCATGATGTTTTTTTGTTGATAATTAATTGATTTATAGCACTTTATTTGTTTGCACTAATCCATAACGCCACATAGTTTTATACAATAACTTTTTATAAGTATATAGTACTTGTGTATGTTAGCAGCTTCAGTATTGTAAATATTTTAGTCACTTCTTGGCGCAAACGTTATTGGCATATATTCTTGCGCAAACTGTTAGCATGACATTTAAGATTAGGTCGGGTTGACGAGTGCAAAAATTAACATCTAATACTTCTTGTTATCTTTTAATACCTCTTCTTTAGATCTTCTGTAGCTCATTCAACATCCCTAGCCCCTTTCCAGGAACAAAACACTCAAAGAAAGGAAGAAAAATGGATATGGTTTGAATTTTGTGGACACAGGATGCACTACCTAACAATTGCTTTATTATCTTTGTGATAATAAATGCAATTGTGAAGTAGTGAGATCTGTTTAAACTTTGAATATTTTTGCCATTTTGATTTTGTTTCTGCAGTGTTCACATTCTAACTTTGTTTATTTTTGTCAGTCTTTGTTTATTTTTTTACTAAGTCTGAAAAGTAGATCTGAAGAGGGGTTATTAACAAATAATAAGATGCAGGAACCAGAGGATATAGAAATATACATTATACTGAAATTGGATTTTTAAACAATACAGGAGATGACATTTTATACTCTGTGGCAGTGTAAGCCAATGCCACAGAGTAGTATTTGCGACTTTGTCACCTAGGACTCTCAGCCAAAGGGGATAAGGGGGTCCAGAAAGTAAAGCATGTTATAAGGAAGAGCCTGGCTTTTCAGGTTCTTCCAGGTTTTCCTAAATGTAGCTGGGATCTGGAGCTCTGGAGATCTCTTATAGCTCTGGGTGGGAAGAGATTTTTGTTGCCCGGTCATGTGTTGCTGCCATCAATTTAAAAATTACCTTATTTTTTTGTTAAAATTCTAAGTTTTCTCAGTTTAAACATTGGATATATTTTCTATTGTGAATAAAATATGGGTTTATGAGATTTGCAAATCATTGCATTCTGTTTTATGTAGATTTTACACAGCATCCCAACTTTTTGGAATTGGTGTTTTAGAAGAAAACTAGTAACAGAACAATAAATTAAAACCATTAAAAGAGCCTAAATTAAAAAATTAAAAGAGCCTGCAAACACAATCCCAAGCCCTAACAGTGGCCTTCATGGAGCTAGTAGGAGGATAAGGCGCCTAGATCCCACTATAGACCAAACCAGTAAGAGCAGCATAGGATCCCAAGGAGGCAGCATCTGTCACTACAGCTGCATCACTATAATCTGCAGTGAGCCAACGATTAACCACCACCATCTGGCCTGCCATATAATATTTTTTAAGGTCAAGGTGAGCCAAACCACCTTGGGTGCAAGGCTCTTGAAGGAAGCCAAGTTTTATACGGGGAACCATGGAGTTCCAATAAAAGGAGGGAAATAGATGATTCACCTTTCTAAAAAAAGGAGTCTGGAACCTTCACTGGGGAATTACGAAGGAAATAAAAAAAAAATAGGTAGGACCTTCATTTTTATAAGGTTGGTTTTACCAATAAGAGTCAAGGGCAGATGGGCCCATGTGTCCAATCTGTGTTTCACTATTGGGAGTAAAGGAAGCAAGTTTAGGTAGTAGAAATCCCCAAAAGATTTCCTAATTTGTACGCCGAGATGTGTCATTTGGTCTTCCCACTGTAGAGGAAGATCAGGGTCAGCCTGAGATCTAGTTAAGGGATCCAACGGTAAAATATGTGACTTCGACCAGTTCACCCACAATCCCGAGAACAAGGCAAAGATATCCAGAATGTCCAGCATCGCATGGATAGAGGGCCCAGAATCCCAAAAGGAACAGAATAAAGTCATCAGCGTACAGTGCCAAGCGCTTCTCAATAGCACACTTTCAGAGCACAATGAAAACCAGACAAGCAAAAGGTGCTAGTTCAAATATTTATTAAGAACAGTGTCCACAGGAGCAAGCAGAATCATAAACCGGAACAAGCCAGAGTCAGAAGCCGGAGTGGGTAATTGTCCAAGCCAGGTCAGGAACACAGAGATCAGCGTCGTCAGGACAAGCCAGGAGCAGGAGCCAGGAAGTCAGTGTTGCCAGGAACAAGCCAGAAGCAGGTGCCAGGAAATCAGCATTGTCAGGAACAAGCCAGAAGCAGGAGCCAGAGGAGAACGTCAGCCAGGATTTGGTCATACACAGAATCAGGATACTCAGATCAGCAGGAATGCACTAGCAGGAAGACCACGCAAGGGCAAGGTCAGACTGGACTGAGTGGTTTATATATAGTGAGTGGGGTGACATCATGACTGTCTCAGATGATGCTCTGGAGCCTGGGAGAATTGAGCAACGTTCCAGAGCCTGCTGAGTAAAATGGCAGCCAAGCCAGAATGCTGCAAACCAGTAAAGTCAGGGTGGAACCCTGACACACCCAACCGGAGTCCGAGCAATCCAGTATATGACCTCAGAGCCACCGCCAGGGGTTCCATCACACTAGCAAACAAGCCAGTCAACAAAGGACACCCCTAACGCGTGCCTCGCTCCACAACAAAAGGACTTGGAAAAGGCAGGTCCTATCTTCAAGGATACGCTAGGGTCACAATATGAAATAATTATCTATCTCAGAATTGTGGGCAAAATCCCATTTTCCGCAACATCTCCCACATAAATCCCCAATCCACTGAAACGAAGGCTTTGACAATATCCACTGACACCACCGCTCTAGTGCCTACAATGCCATGGGACATTTATAGGTGAGCAAACCGGCGATGCAAGTTGGTATCTGTGGACTTACCTGGTATAAAGTTAATAAAAAATAGAACCAATCACCACAATATTAACAATAGAGCCAATCACCACAGAGAGGCGGGTGAGGATTTTTAGATTCATATTCAAAAGGGCAATAGGTCGATAAGAAAAGCACAAGAGGGGATCCTTGCCAGGCTACGAAGAAGAACCACATGCGCATCCTTAAAGGAGTCCAGCAACTCACCAGCTACCAAACAGGAGGCATAGAATTCCCGGAGCTAGGGGCCCAACTGTTTGGCACAAAGTTTATACCATTTTACCGGTAAACCATCAGGACATGGGGATTTATCATTTGGAAAAGATGCAATAGCTGTCAGTATCTCCTGTATGGAA